CGTGTCCAGAGAAGGGCAACGAGGCTGGTGAGGGGTCTGGAGAACAAGTCTTCTGAGGAGCAGCTGAGGGAACTGGGGTTGTTTAGCCTGGAGAACAGGAGGCTCAGGGAAGACCTCATTGCTCTCTACAACTACCTGAAAGGAGGTTGTAGTGAGGTGGGTGTCGGTCTCTTCTCCCAAGTAACAAGCGATAGGACGAGAAGAAATGGCCTCAAGTTGCGCCAGGGGAGGTTTAGATTGGATGTGAGGAAAAATGTCTTTACTGAAAGAGTGGTGAAACATTGGAAGAGGCTGCCCAGGGAACTGGTTGAGTCACCATCCCTGGAAGTATTTAAAAGACGTGTAGATGCAGCGCTTAGGGACATGGTTTAGTGGGCATGGTGGTGTTGGGTTGACGGTTGGACTGGATGATCTTAGAGGTCTGTTCCAACCTTAATGATTCTATGATTCTAAGTGTGCCGAGAGCTTGCTTTCCCCTGCATGCGCACTGCTACTGTGCAGGGCAGTGTTTCTAGATGTGGTGCCCATGGCCCATCTCTAGTCCCCATTCCTGTGGGCTATAAGGGCAGGAGATTATTGTGGCTGTGCTGAATGGACCAAGGAGGAGGAAACTGTTGGAATCTGAGCAGGGCTGGCATTTTGGGGTTTTGCCTTTTGAAGTAAATGCAAGATGTACATTTTCAGTGGAGTTCCTGGCATTTTGGTTGAGCCTTGATCCCTCTCCAGATGGGTTCATTGTGCTTTCAGGGTTACAGCTTCGCGTCCCCTCCTTTCAAACTGGGGTTAGTTTATAACAGGGTTGATCCTACACTGGCTTCATCCCCTACGTGAACATTCAATTTTTAGATCTAATCTGTTTTGTGTGCCCTGTGCTAGTACCGTGGGTCAGTTTACTGCAAGGACAGGGACACATGTTAACCAACCTCGGTAAGTAGAGTTTGAGCCTTCAAACAGTGGATTTTCCACAGTTTGGCTGTCCTTGGCTCTCTGTGTGAGACAGTTCTGTTCGAGGAGGAGATCATGGCACCGTTTGTGCTTTATTTTGGTGGAAACTGTGTCATTTCAGAAAGGGACATACCTGCCTCAGACATACATAATCCAGGAGGAAATGATTGCGACCGAGCATGTCAGTGACATGGAGCAGCTCGGCTCCTTCATCTACCGCCTCTGCAGCGGCAAGGAGACCTACAGGCTGAAACGGAGGAGCACAAGGAGACGTAAGAGCCTTGCTGTGTTCGGCTGTCCTAACTCGCTTTCCCCCCCGCATCACAGTTGTTATTTCTGCTATTACAGTCATGCTGGCCTCTTCATGGCAATAGGGGAGGTTTCCCTGTCGGTGTAAGCACACAGGAGATCTTTTGAGGTGTTTCCCATCTAATTCATCTAAACCCAAATCTGGGATGATGATGCTGCAAATGGGTGCTGGTTGCTGTGTTTCTATTGCTGCGTCTATGAGCCTGATAGAAACATTGAGAAAATGGTTGCAGGAGCCAGCAATTCATTTATGTGTGCTCTCCTGGGGCTCAACTAGTAGTGCTGTTGGGAACTGTTTGGAAAATTTTCCTAATGGAGACACCCGCTTCAGTGGCAGCTACTCAGAGCAGATTCGATCTGCAAATTGCCTTTAATTAATTAAGTTCCTAATAATATGGAAAAAGTTGTGAAGAGGGAACATTGGACTACCTTAAAATGATCTCATGAAAATCAGCCGCAACCCCCCCACCCCCCCCCCCCTGCCGTGGGCAGGGACATCTTCAACTAGATCAGGTTGCTCAGAGCCCCGTCCAACCTGACCTGGAATGTTTCCAGGGATGGGGCATCCATCCACCACCTCTCTGGGCAACCTGGGCCAGTGCCTCACCACCCTCAGCGTAAAGAATTTCTTCCTTATGTCTAGTCTAAATCTACCCCCCTTTAGTTTAAAGCCATTCCCCCTTGTCCTGTCACAACAGGCCCTGCTAAAAAGGTTGCTGCCATCTTTTTTATAAGCCCCCTTTAAGTACTGATAGGCTGCAAGAAGGTCTCCCCGAAGCCTTCTCTTCTCTAGGCTGAACCACCCCAACTCTCTCAGCCTTTCTTCATAGCAGAGGTGTTCCATCCCCCTGATTATTGTCGTGGCCCTCTTCTGGACCCTCTCCAACAGGTCCGTGTCCTTCTTGTGCTGAGGGCTCCAGAGCTGGACGCAGTGCTCCAGGTGGGGTCCCACCAGAGCAGGGTAGAGGGGCAGAATCACCTCCCTTGACCTGCTGGCCACGCTGCTTTTGATGCAGCCCAAATATGTAAAAATTACAAATGGTAATATTGCTGCAAAAACTCCTTAATTTCAGTATTTGCATTTATTTGTTTTTAGACACTGGTGTACTTAAAGGCTTACCTGAAACATGAACCTATAGTCAGTTTGGGTTGGGATCTCTGGGGAAGCTGCAGGGTGCTGAGAGCGTTTGGGTGCAGAAGTCATCATGGCTGTAGTTCGTGGTTGCCTTCCCAACAGAAGCTGCACAATTGTGCACGGGGCTGCTGGCATGCTGGCTGCTGCTCTCGTGGAGCCCTGGCACGGTCCTGCTTGTCAGCAGGGCACCACCGGGTTTGCTGTAAGAGGGGAGTAGCTGTCTGGCAGAGCTGCCCAGAGTTGAGGTCCTGCAGTTTAATGGCATGGGGAGCATTACTTGTTTCCCAGAGAGGCTGAGACCATAGCAGGATCACTGCATGTGGGGATACAAACAGCCAGAGGGGTGGTGATTTTAAGCCCTCCTTGGCTGCATTCAGAGCTGTGCTCTGTACCAGCCTGTGACTTCTGCTGGTTTCATGAGGCTTTTTGGTCTCTGAGATAACACTGAGATGCTGTCAGCTGAAACCAGCTGTTTCCATACAGGTACTCCAGCTCATGGTAGCTTCTACTGCAGGACCATGGCCTAGAGAATATGGCTATTCTTCCAAAGACCAGGTTATGCTGCTTTTCATATGGGCTGTGTTGTTCCTGCATTTCAGTGTTCAGCAGTTGCATCTCATCTGCTTTCCTTCCCCCACTTGCTCCAGCTCTTGTAGATTATCATTTGTTTAATTTCCACTCTTCTGTCTTTCAATCACTTCTAGGTATCAGTCGACGTGAGGCTGGAAACTGTCATCGTATTCGTCACTTTGAAAACACTTTTGTGGTTGAAACTGTTATCTGCAAAAAGTCATGAAGCCACTCTCCAGATGTAACCTTCCTTGGCTTTGCTTGCACACACATGCACACACATGCTCCCAGCCCTCTCTTTAGACATGGTAATCTGTCCTACTTTTTTTACTCCCTCCCCTGCTTGTGCACCTCTAACCTCTTGGGTCCATTCTGGCCTCACAGTGGATTCTCTTCTCTCCCTGCTGTCTACCTGAGATGTTTGCTGGGCTTAAATTTACACAGTGGTCAAAGATAACCTGGGAGAAAATGCAGCTTCTTCCACACCACAGGATGGGAATCTCTTTTGGGAGCAGGTTTGGGGTAGAAGGGATGGCCGAGAAATAGAAGTGCTGGAAATAGGTGCTCTTTTCCTGGCTGAGCGATTTCAGGCTGGTATAGTGCTTTGAGGCTGCCTTGGCACCAGGACAGAAGGTGTATGTACAAGAGGAGGGTTACCATTTATATGCTGATGTAATGACCAGAAATACATAACCAGATGCACTTAGGAAAAGAATAGCTGTGAGGCTACAGACAGGATGATTCAGAAAGCTCAACAGAGGGAGGGTTTCTGCCCAAACCATGCTGTGGTAGTCCCAGCCTGCTGTGTGCTGTCCCCCCGAAGACCAGATTTTCAAACATTGAAAGCAACCGCTATGTGTTGTTTTTATGGCTGGCTCCTGGACTCACACACCCCCCCCCCATGTCTCCCCCCGAAACCCGCAACGGC